ACCGTCTGTGTTTCGCACCCGTTCAGCGTCGTACTCCAGACGTCCATCTTTAACAATTTTTTTCGAATTTCTAAATTAATCGTTCGCGAGCATAGAAGTGACTTCTTTTTGTTAAAGACGATCCTGTTTTATATCACAACTGCTATAAACTTACTTATGTATAAACAATTGTTTTCAATGAATGTTCCTGCAGGCACAACGAGAGATATTATAGTACATATGTCTATTAGCTGTAAAAACATTCAAATGGTAACAATAAAATTCAGTTTTTCTAACATTAAATAATATGATATTCCTCGGGAAGCATTAACCAAGATGGATATATTGTCCGTTAGGTTAATCAAAACGTTTTCATGTATGTTAATGGTAATTTTATGGATATTTATGAAGTACATAGAGTTTATTATAATTGCGGTTTATTGTAATTGATTCCGAAGCACTTGTCAAATTTCGGTGCATAAATAGTGTAATAACATGCAAATTACGGCATATACGTAGAAATGTATGTAGAAACCTTATTATTACTGAGGAAGATTAAATACAATTCACTATGCGGAACGTTTGCAAACAAAGCACGCACTGTCGTTATTTATTATTTGCAAACATAGGATGCAGTTGTACCAGCAGCTGTGTTTGTCAGGATAGGAAGAGGACGAACGATAAATTTCCGCCTGAAAATGTAATCTAAATAAGCTTCTTGATAGATAAACGCTACAAACTGCCTTCGGTTCAGTTTTTATTCTACAGAAGCGTCCATATTAATAAAAACAAATAAACACAATCACAAAACCTGGAGAAAACGCTCACATAAATTCGACTAAAACACAACTATAACTTCTGCTCTGTTAGTAGCATTTATGTTCAGTTTCATTAATTATTAGCTTAATTGTTGGTTTTAAAACTAGGCAAATGTAATTCTTAATAACTTAGCATTTATGAGCAATTTCGACAGGTTGTGACCACGCCTAATAACACATCACATCCAACTTTGGTCATCAAGGTAAGAAACTCGTCGTCTATTATCAAATACTTTCCTATGCCGAGAATGTTGAACCGTGCAACAAACTATACGCATATACAAACAAAATGTCATTGTTACGAAGCACATGACCATAAATATTTAACATCTTTATCTCTCGTGTTAAAGATAATTGATAGGATAGAATTTTACAGATTCCTTTTAAGTTTCAGAAGATACAGTCCTCACCTTCGTTTGTTTTTAATAACTATTAAGAACAGGTGTTTGAACTTTACGCATTATTGTATAAAACACCGATATATACTTCGTAAATTTTATATAATCGTATTTTTGGTTTCTGGTGTGACTTTTAATTAGAACTTTATTGTTTTTCAATTATTTTTTTCTGAGACTCTTTACATTAACATCTTTTATGTTTAGCGGTTTTTTTTCTGTTTTCTCAGTACAAGTCTTGCAAGTTGCGAGCCAAATTTGATATCAGTTAAGGTTTAGCTGGTAATTTAGATAATTGATTGGCTATTACTCAATCATCCTTTTGCTAAATTTGTTCCTTCGATGGAGGAGATCGGCTGCCTTGTGTAAATGAAAAAGTGATTTATGGGACGTGGTTTAACTAACATTGGTTTTAAAATCATTAGACGGTGCCCGTTTTCGTTCCCCAAAGGTCATTAGAAGCGTTTGTATAAAGAATCAATAACAATACCGCTTAGGATATTAGAGTTAACGAGACATTTTACAAGAAAAAAAAAAAAAGAAAGATTACCTACTGATAAAATCTATATCGAGTTCTTTCATTAAAGGTGAGAGTTTTTTTTTATGTAAAGCTCAAAGACGAAACAATTTATTAAAGCAAGCAGAAAGTATAATACGTAAATATAAAAGTCAGGCGTTCTTCTTCAATGTTAAAAGTTTTGCACAAAGTGGTCATATTTTCTGTAAGCACGGAAGTCTTTTCTGAATGAAGCAATTATAATGAACAGTACCTTATAATGGAGAAAATGATATGTAAATGAAAATTGTTTGTCCTGTTAATAATTGCAAATTGGATTATCTCGCGATTTTTTAAAGATTTCCGCGAATTTTGAGACCTCTTTGCCATTGGGCGCACAGAACTTTTGTTCGATATAGATTATGAAAAAAGTGATCAGTACCTTTTTTACAAAATAGCATTGTGAAAAACATTTATTGAAACTTTTTTTCTATATCTGCGAAAAGGAAAACGAATTGATTTAACAATGCNAATTGAATTTGCAATTGTTTTTGGGGATTGTCTTCTCCCTATACCGGGTAAATAATTTTCATTTACATATACGTGTTCTTCACTAAATTTCCGATAAAATGACCCGCGTTTCAATCATTTTCTCCATTGTAAGATACTCTTCAGTCATTTCCCTCATTTGACTGGAATATAACCTGAGAGCTACGTTCACCCTTTCGGACAACTACAATTTCTACACTTAATTCAATACTTAAGTCTAGTTTATATCGTAACATCTGTATTACAAGATGAATACGCTGTTGTCATTATATTTTCAACTGGTTCGTACAGACTAAATCGATCTCTCAATAATTCTACAAAATGTATCTCCCAATTGGTTCTTTCTTGGAAAACAAAGGCTATACACTGTCAAATGGGCTTTACAAGTGCTTGTTATATAAATACTTATGAAATATTGCAATACTCGTACCTAATACCCACTCTAAAATGATCTTTGAATGGATATTATCTGAATTCCCGGAAATTTGCCCTGCATTCGATGCATACCATTTAAGGAATAATGATATGCAACGTTTGCATGAATTTTCGTTTTATTTATGTTATGCATTTCGGTTAAGAATTTTGCGCATTGGAAAAATATCGCAAGGAATTCTCGCACTTCGCATTACAATATCCGGGGTTTGGGGTCTGAACTATTTAATAAACGATAAACTTGGAAGACTGCTGTCCATGTAATAATATTTTAGTTTAATTTTGAAATAGCGAAGCATCTACGAAAAATCCTGAAGATAATTTTATTTAGTACAATCCAGTAGGTACATTTTTCTTCCATTATGGTTGAAATAGTTAGTTTTCTAACATTTTTAAATTAACAAGATGCTACTAATATTCGGATTCTTTTTATATTCGATAAATTGCTGAAAACGACCAACTTGTTAATTAATCAATGGGTTTTATACCATTTGGAGTAGGTAAGATATTTTCTTTTACAATTAGAAATGCTCGTAAGTTTTCCAGATAAATCGCGTGCAAAATTGTCGCGTGTAATAGCAGGTAGGTTCGCTTCATATTTGACTGTCGTGAGGACGAAGTCGTGGACTACATAGAGTTAGTTCAAAGTAACCTTTCGTATTTCTATATAATGTCTTTGGTAATGAATCTAGCTGCCGAACACTGTAAATACTACAAACAATTGCTCATTTTATTTCTTCATACAAGAAGGCTCTAAGTATTTTATTGGTTTGTATTGATTCGGGTTTAAAAGCCGTAGTCGGTTAGCCCTGTTTCCTAACGTTTAGCTAGCATGAGTGACGAGTTTCTTCAGAGATTCTTCCATCTCTTGAACCTCCGAAGAAACTGCCATATATAAATCCACATTTCGTTACTAATTCTTTTTATACACTGTTGTAATCCTCATTAACTTTTAGTGTGTAACTCGATAGACGATTGTGATTGTTAGGGGAGTTTCAAATGTCATCGATTCTACCGCAATCGTGACTACCCTTTAGCGGCTACAAGGCATGTCTAATTACAAGATGAACGGGTTAGCTGCACCACTGCCTGCTTGTATAGTGTGGGTTAATGGTCCGTAGGTGTTCAAGAATGTATAGTGTGTATTATACTGTAGTGTTGTGCCTCTCCAGTTTCCACTGTTAATCGGCACTGATCCGTGATGCCACTGGAAGGGTAATTCTGGTGATTACTTCCCTTTATGCTCTTTTGTTGGTGCCGGTTGACCTTAGAGAATGTGAAGCCCATGCGGACGAAGACTCGCACGGCATCTCTAATGATCGCGCGCCCGCCGCCGACTAATTATGATTTATTGCCTGGTGGCGGCATGCTAAAGCGCTAGTCGCCACTGCCACCTTCGGTGACACTAAACTGTTATTACGGAAAATACGATGCAGTTCTGGTAATACGCTTTGAATGCAGATGCGGAGTTTAATCGTAGGCATTACGTGTCTGTTTTGCATCTACATCTATATCTTCGTACTTCAGCAGGCTATATAAAAGTTTTGTGTAAAATTTTACGAACCATCCGTCCATCAGAAACTTAATAGCCAACTCTATCTTGTAATATTGCCTCTAAAATTTGGAATTTCATTTTTTCTACACTACCTACAACTGCGTTATTCATCTTACTCATCGTCATAAGGTCGTCAGTCCTAAGACTGGTTGGACACGCACCTTCACTCTTTCCTATTCTGAGCTAATCTTCGCATTTCCCTAAAACTAGAACAACATCATCCTTAACTATTTGCACAGTAATCTAATCTAGGTCTACCTCTACTCCTCCTAACTCCAAGTCCCATATTGACTTTCATGGAGTCCTCTGTTCTCCTACTCTTTCTAATACCTCTTCATTTCTAACCTTCTCTATCCACGGTATCCTCATCATTCGCCTGTAACATCCCGTTTCGAACGCTTCTAACATTTTGTTTTCCGCCGCGCCCACTGTCCATGTTTCACACCCGTATACCCCCACCTTGCTGCATTAACCAAAAATCTTTGAATGGAAAATCTCTGGTTTCACAAAATATTTCTACCTTGAGCCAGTCGTGGTGCATTTCTCGAAAGCTACCGCAACCTGCATTAATCTAACAGCAATCTAATTTCTAAATCTACTTCTGCTGTCTTTAACTCCTGATTCCTCTTCTAATACGTCTCTAACTAGTCCTTCATGTCTATTTCCTATTGATTTCCTATTGATCTCCATTGCCCTCTGTTCTCCTACTATTTTTAATATCTTCTCAAGTTATTAACAATTGATAAACTTTTTTACTGTTGATTGTATATATTTTGGACATAGTATTTCATTTGAACAATTGGCAAACAAAACATTATTATTAGTTAAAGACCTCTTTATAGATAAATAATAAAGTAACATTCACTAGTTCTACGTTACAAAGTTGTTAAAATAATACAATTGTTGCAATTTTCATTGAATAACTCATTTACCACTGGCACATACAGTGACTTCTTGTCATGGACCCGCAAACGCATAAAACATGAGCAATTGACCTGAACAACAGACATATCCAATACAACCTACATAATGGAGCAGTAGCTTGAGTCGCTTCTTGATATATCTGGAAATGTTAACAAACTAAGTAGTCATTACTAATTACTAATCGTAAGTGATGATAGAGATATTTGGAAAAAATAGATGTTTAGATCAGTAAATATTCATGAAGGCTTCGACAGGTAAGTATGCCTAAAGCCATGTTCTACAATAATTTTTGGAGATCTTGGACCAATGATTACTCTTCAAAATTGGGATAGCACGTTTTCAGATCTAGATAGTAGATCTAAAAAAAAACTAGAAACTTATCTACTTAGATCTTTCTGGATTTACCGGACTTTAAAGCTTTTGACTGCTATTTATTCCTAGAATGTAAATCTAATACATGCTTTGCAAAGATTCGACTAGATCTCTCTATTCTTTTCTGGATTGTCCGTTTTAATTGATAAAAGCCTTCAATCTTATTGTACAATACAGTTATGTATCTATTATAAAGTTTGTTTTATCTTGGAGCAAGATTGATATAAATACCTGGTTGTAGGTAGGTACTTATTCGATAACGTACCAGATTCACTAGAGTTTCTTGATTCTGTTCTTTTCAAATCAGTCTGTCGAACGTTAACTCCTTTACTCCGAAAATTTATCTCCGTAATTAAAGAATGTTTAGAACCGATGCTGCTTTTACTTCCGCTATCATTGTTGGAGTTGAATCCGCTTTCAAATTTACACCTTTTCTGTTTCATCGGGCATATTTCACTGTACGGCTTACGTTTTGTACATTTAAAGGTTGGAGGTGGACAAGGTACTTGACAAGTTTGAGAAATTTGCTTCTTACATGCTGATTTACTTCTCAACACTCGGTTGCACATGCAACATCTTCTGGAAGGTGGTCTTCGTTTTCTGGGAGTCTTTGGGGCATTCTGAGCCATCTGGCAGTACTTTTGCTTACATTCCGGAGACATGTTGTTCCATTCCTTAGCTCCTTTACAGGCTATTTCGGCAGCTGTCATATGCTTACATTTACTGCGAACATCGATCAGGTAATTAAAAAATGGGTTTCTTGTGATTTTCGGTTTTTTGCAAATTTTACTTTCAGAACACCGTGCTTCTTCGTTTGAGCATTTTGAATCTGTCTGACATAAACTTGTAGAACACGATGAGCAGTTGTTCTTAATGGGCGTTACAGACCGTTCTTTGTTTTCATCAGAATTGACACTGAAGAGCTTTATGCCCATTCCCAAGTTGACCCCCACCAGGGGCAATACTTCTTTAATTTAGATCTGTCATTGTTTGATCATTTATTGACACTACTGAACAGTTCAGTTCGATTAAGTCATTTTCAATTTAAATGATGGTAAACTTTCTTACGTTTTCACTGTTCTGGATTCTTCTCTAAAAAATGAAATCTCATCTCTATACTGAATGGAGAACTGACGACAGTATGGAATTCAATAAGGAAGAGTATATTGAATGTCAGGATACTAGATAAAACTTAAGGGCTTGTGAGAGATATATCGGAAGCAGAAGCAGGAGTAAAGAGAGGAGGTAATTGTTAACAAGCCGTTAACATGTTCTAGTTTTCGGGAAATACGAAAGGATTAGCTCGAGACAGGGGTGGAACTGCATGTAGAGTTGACCACCCTGTGATGATGAATTAGGAAAATGGTAAGATTAAAGAATGGGCCAGAACTAAATGAAAGCACCTTCCACAGTTGTTTATATCTGATTGATAATAATACGCTTAGCTTTAATGTGATTCTAACTTTTTTGAAGGAACAGATAAGGGAAACTATATTTTTAATAAATACGTGCATTAATATACCATAAAGTCCAAATGACAAATACGAAGTAGTAAGTTCCAAAAAAAGGACAATAACGCATACAAGACAGACAACCGAGCGAATCTCGCAACAATGCTTTCTGTGCTTTACATATTCATTCAAAGTAGTCAGTAGTATGTAGGATAGTGCCAGTAGAATTGTGAGATATGATATTTTAGACATTTCTAAAGCTCGCTGCAACTGGCGCCGGGAAAATTAGCATTAAGATAAAAAAGAAACTCAACAATTGCAAATCAAAAATGCCGGGAGTGCTTTTATTCTACTATAAAAATACAACAATACGGGGTTGTGCGGTCGATATGGATACAACGAACATGCTCGCAGTTGTGCTACTAGCAAGCGACCATCTCGTGTGCGGCTGTTTAGATCATTCGATGGTCGAAAGTTGTGCCGCGCGCTTCGTATTAGTTGCACCCAAAGCTCAGCGTCGTCGGCGTCGCTCGGAAGTAGCGTAGAGTAGCGTAGTACTTCACGGACAGACATTACCTACGGGTTCCGGTTTTAGTTTGCGCGAAAACCGATGTGGCTTTAAATTTTAATAAACCGATACTGTTATTGGTAACGTCTCATCGTCTCGTATAGGTACGTAAGTTCAGTGAATTTTCTTTGATGTATTTAGGTCCTCGGATTAATCACTTTGGCTAACTTAATTTCCTTGCTGCAATAAAGTTTTTATTGCCCCTTTTACGAACGCAAGTTTTCATATTCGACTATTTTATCGGCGCTGAAATGACACATATGTTTGTATTGCGTTCATATTAATGTGGACGTTGACTAGTAGTTCTTTTTAGGATAACAGAACGGATAGTGGCATCGGTATATGTATGTATCCTCGTCGGTGAAAATATATGTATTTTTTATAGTATTTGTGACGAAAGTAATTAAATTTATCTATAAGATCTCGTCAGAGCTTCCTCGGTTATTGAAGATATGTTAATGATATTTTGGCAAAAAGCTATTTCTTAAATTTAAACTTTTTTTAAGTTTATGTCATTTTCTGTAGGTATCTTTCGTGTTGCCTTTTAAATATTATAACTAATATTATTATAAAAGTTGTATGCAGGGACTGCATAAGCAGATTTTCCTAATAGTTGTGGCTAAACATCCAACAATAACACATTTAATTGGAAAATTACATTTTTGTTAACTTTAAGGAATAAACTTTCGTTAATCTTCATGTTGACATATGTTATAACAAGATAAATAATTGTTAACAACAGACTGCACTTAAATGCTCATCAAAATTCGATCAATCGATTATAAAAATCTATAAAAAAGTTAGTTCTATCATATATACGTATAAAAAAGTTGGATCGATTTGTTTAACTAAAATTAACACATTTTGTAAACTTTTCACGCATATTTATTCTAGTGATACTTATTTCACCACGCTGTAGCTTTATTAAGTTTAGTCGAGTATCTAACTCATCATAACACTTTTTAATAAAAGTTTGTGAAAAGTTTGGAAATGTTTTAAAGTTGTAATAGGTGTAATGGAACAGAGAGGGTCGCTTCAAGATCAAGATCTTTTGTGTTTAAGTGTGTTAAGTATCAGAAATTTCATTAATAAATTTCGGTTGTAATTTTTATAGTTTACGAGCTTTTACCTGCGGCTCAGCTCGCGTTGATGGTACATGTCAAAGATCATCGAAAATATAATAATTTGATAAATAGTACTGACCAGAATCATCAGTATAAAACTACTTTCTAGTAGGAACACTTTGCATAGAATGACAGTAAATGTGCTGTGCTAATTTTCCTCGGAAACACTACTTTTTCTGTATAAAAGGTATTCTATGTCCTTTCCTGTACCTCTATCAATGTATGTACAAAATTTCATGATGATCGGTTGAGTAATTAAAGCGTGAAATGGTAATATTGTAAACCAAATATTGAATAGGACGAAGGACTTCGCAGGGTCTTTTGACTTTCGTTATGCGGAGTTTATACTTTCAATATAAATTTTTAGTAATAGTCTAATAGTTGACTATTAATGTCGTGCGTCATACACATATAATCAGTAGAATATCGTAAATGATTTATTGATTGTGTTTGTAATTGTATGTTCTAGGTACGTAAATAATAATTCTCAAATTTTCCGTTTCTGATTTCCGAGCTACCGTTACAGCAATTTATACTTTTATTAACTTTTACGCTTACTGCATGTCCCTTTTGTTGATCAAAAATGTCAAAACAGTCACGTAAACAGTTCTAAAAATATAATTTTAATATCTTTCGAATAATAAATAAGTAAGTAGAACTTTGAGAGTAAACACGTTTTTTGGAAATAACATCAATATTCGTTTAAATATTAAAGGGAAAAAGAAGTAAAAATAGCATATGCTCGTATAGGATCAGAATTGACACTGAAGAGCTTTATGCCCATTCCCAAGTTGACCCCCACCAGGGGCAATACTTCTTTAATTTAGATCTGTCATTGTTTGATCANAATTCTGTGTACCGATTTATATTTACACTTTTGAATTGTACCTATTATATGAAAATATATGTGTTTTGTATTTGATTCTTGATTGTTCTTCTGTTTCCTTGATTTCTCCTGTTGCTGCATACTTGGATGTTTCTGTAAAATAGAAATATTCCTTTTGAGATACAATATTTTACGACTTACCCGGAACAGAGATACTGCTCTTATTTTAATTATTACCAACCAATAAATAAATTATCCTTTTTAAGGCTATTTATTTATCGTTGAGAAGGTTTCGCGTTTTTTACTCTTACTTCATTGTTAGTAATGAGAAACTGCATTTAATTGAAAATAAAAATAGCATTGATAAAAGTGAAGAGAAGATAAAAAAAGGGACACGCACCTGAAAGATGGAATGGAGTGAAATGACGGTTAATTAAGCTGCTTTAATAACGAAAAAGGATTCCGCTAACGTCAAAGGATGAGAAGCTTCATTAGACGTTAGAAACAAATTAACCCAGGGGTGTTTTTGCATATTTCAAAGAACTTAATTATTTTACTCCTTCTGCAAAGAAATCTTCAGAAAGGTATATGATGGTGCGCGTTCCTTCGATATCCAGAACGTTATTTTAACATTTCAACGAGAATGATAATACGGAATTGTGAAAAACCTATCTAAATCACAGAATTTTCAAATAAAATTTACTTTTCGAATAATAAATAAGTAATCTAAGTTTTGAGAGTAAACACGTTTTTTGGAAATAACATCAATATTCGTTTAAATATTAAAGGGAAAAAGAAGTAAAAATAGCATATGCTCGTATAGGAAGCTGCAAGTAACGCCCTTCGTATAATATATTTCGCTTTCATAGGTATTTTGGATGTGGAACATCAAGCTACATTTGCCTAACCCTAATTACTTTTAGTTTAATCCTATCCCCATTCAGATAATTACTTAATGTTAGCATAAAATATAAACTCATTATCAGTGTATGCGTATACCATCGTGTGAAACCGGAAAGGAGAAGGGGTTTGTTTGGGGAGGTTGAATGGAATTTATAATTTATAACTTTCAAGGATTGTTACTTCGACATGCAAAATAAGTATGGTATTTACAAAATAGGCCAGTTAGATTATTGTCATTTTGTATTAGACTTCATAAACTGGCTTCCGTAGAATTACGTTACTGAATTTTTAGCAACATAAGATGTAAATTGTTGGTTTCGTTGGATCCCATCAGCACGTTGTAGACAAAATACCGACCAATCTACCTGCTACCATTAAATAGCTGTCAACAAATAACCAGTTACTGCATGGTGAACGCCAAGCTACTTTTTCTGATCTCATTATTATTTGACAGGCTTTCGATTAAGATAACGACTTGTCAGATTGGACCTGCGGCGTGCTGATGTGAACAGGAGAGTTCAAAACTGCCATCCACGTTTGACGGTTTCAACAGATTGAATTCATCGTATTGAATTTTTATAATTCCATTACTTTTATTTAATGTTTATTGTAATAATTATTAAAAATTAAAAACAAAACTCGTGTGTGTTATCCCTTTCTCTAGTTTGTTAAAAAGGTTGCGTTCTGAGACCGTTTTGTTGCTCTGATAATGATCTTATAAGGGTAGATAATGTAACAGAATGAAATACGATGTGTATACCTATACGATATTATGACGATTATAGATATTATGTATATAGCCACTATTATGAATGTCGTTCAGAACACTTGTTTCTCATAAGTTATGTCGTTTTCATTACCCACTTGCGTGAAGCGTTAAATCCTGCGAAATTCAAAGTTGAATTCCATAGCGATATGCGTTCAAGTGTTTTGGCGCTTGAGGGAAGATAAATCTCGCTTGTTTTGCGGTAATTTTCTGTTAAATTTAGGTACACAATCCTATTTTTTTTTTTAGAAGAAATGTGCAATTTATTTGAACATGATTGAATATTCCACGTAGCTTACACCAGAACTAAACATAACCAGTATTGTTTTGTATTAATCTATAGTTGTATGTACATGCATAATTCTATCACAAATACTGTCTAATGATGTTGTTGAGGAAGCCATGTGACGACACAGCTTGAAATATGCATATTGTATTGGTATATGTAGATTGTACACCACCAACTGTATTAGACGATAACGTTAGTCACGCTACATTTATAATTAACTATTCAATCAAATGTAGGACTCCATAAGGATATACTAATATAGCTTTACACATGAGCCTTTATTTTTAAAACTGAACATTAAAAAAATAAAACAATTCCAGTAAACGTTGACGCATCCACTGCTGTAGTGGTATAGGGTTGCGTCAGATAAAGTGCATCAACTGCGTCAAAGAAGATGCAGCTTTAGGAATCGTTTTTTTGCACAATATGACTGAACCAATATAACTTCAATATAATTCTCCTAGTTTTATTGTAGGTATAATATTTCAGAATTTACTTCTTTTCACATTTTTTTACTGTTGTATGTTTGGAAGCGGTTTATGATTAAGAAAGTATTAAAAACTTTGAAACTTTGTCGATATTTTAAAATACAGCAGACGCCAAAGTGGGTGCAAAAGAGTTGTCTTGAACTTTGAACTAACTGGGTGTATTTGAACGAAAACGCGGTGATATTCTGGCGTCATTCTGATCTCCAAGTTAATCGCGATTTTGATCCTGTTAGGAAAGTTAATTCGTTTGGTAGTAGTTTGCTAGTACCTACAACCAATTATTTTTCAATTAAAACTTTATAAACTCATTTAATGGATTTATATTGAGTGTCGGTGAACATCTCGAAATCAACTGTCTGACAGACCATAGTACATTCTTCTGTGAAAACGATTAAACGGAGAACACTTTTACTTTATTTGGCATGCACTTTTTCTAACTATTTTTCGAAGTTGTTTCATTTTTGCAGATTAATTAAACTTGACTTGACAAATTAGATTCATGAAAGTGGTCATATCCCTACTCAAAAATGATGAGATATATTTCATTTCAAATTTCTCAATCGTACATTGTTACCTATTACTTTTTACAGATTTGTTTTTGAAATTACATTTTCATTAATAAGGGTTCTTTTTTTCTCTGTTTCACTTTTTCTGCTGTATCTACCTATAAATTCTGTGGTTCCCAATCAGTAACTGGTACAGCTTATC